CTGGATTTATAGAAATTCCAAAGAAATAGTAATAGATTTTAATAGAAAATTTTACTAAGAATAATATTGCTGGATGAATAATATTAAACAATAAGTATGTTTATTAATGGTTAATTATTACTTCATAAAAACAAGTATATAATAAATTTATATAGGTAGATAATTTCAACAAAATTTGTTGTAAATTTACTTTTTAAATAATAAAATATCTAAATTAAAATTTTAATATGCAAATCAGTAAGCTCTCTAAATAATTGACTTGTACGTAGTGAATTAAGACGTAAATTTTCACGTGATCTGTACTCTAGTAGCTAACCAATAAAATCAGCCGTTGGCATTTCTATATTGCTCACTAAAAGCTGATCGGGAAAATTCTGAAACAGCTAATAAATATTTTATAACACTTCAGGATGTCGTTGTTTCAGAATTTAATTTTGCTATAAATATGTTAACTTGAGTGTGCTATGACTTAATTAGTGAAATTTCTTAATGCTGGCCAGTTCCAAACCCGGAATTTAGAAATTACTGCGCAATCTAAAGCTTATCTTTATTTCAATACGTATAAATTTGAAGAGCAAAAAAAAAAAAAAAATTAAATAAAAATTATATAACGGAAGTATACTACTCGTTATTACTAACAAAAAGTATTAACCTGTGATGCTAAAGCGTATCATTGAAAAATTCACGACGATCAAATCATTTGATAAGTTTTAAACAATTTATTCAATTGTTGTATTGATAATTTTGATTTTATAACTTGACCAATTATCAGAGATGAGTTAAGATATTATTATCTCTTTAACACACTCTCTAAGATCAGTAATGTTATGAAAATGCACGATAAAAAATATGTATATAAAATATATAAAAATTGATTTTTTTTTTTTCACCCGAAAGGTCCTTTACAAAATAGGTAAGAAAAAAGCTTTACAAAAAAAAAAAAAAAAAATGGATAAAAATTTAGATAAAAAAAAGAAGAAAATTTTTTTTTTTTTTTTAAATCGTTATCACATTGCAGAAGAAAAATGACACAAGTCAATTTGCGACTACAAGGAATATAAAAATCTACTACGAAAAATAGCAATTTTAAGACATTGTTTAAAATGCGATAATATGAAAAACATATTTGAATTTTTTTAAACCATCAAACTAAAACATTGCAGATTTTCTTCTATCAGCAGCCGATTTGCTTCGCCTTTCAGCAGCAGCTGCGTATAATTTATTTACAGCTTTGCGACGAATACGAGTGGCAAAGTTTTTGGCTATATCAGGACCTTTAGGTTGACGAATTGGAAGAACCGCATCAGAATGTACTTTCATAGGCCCCCCGAATACGCTATAATTAATTAATAATAATAATTCGATAAGCTAATCAATATTTAATATTGTAATAGAAAGAATGGAAAAACTTACCTTCTTCGTCTTTCATCCTTTGAAGAAAGAGAATTAGAGCGTTGTTGTTGTTGTTGATTATTATGCAAAGTTCCAGTAGGTGTTTGAGGAACATATTCTTGCGGATAATCGTAATAATAATAATAATATTGACCTTCCTCCTGCTCTTCCTCACATGGTTGCATGGTACATAGATCATAAATATCTGCACCATTGAAACTTTCTGGAGGCCCATAGCCTGGAGTAGGTGGTGATGATCCTTGAGAATCGGAATCATCAGGATGACTGAGAACGACAACAGGAGTACCCGGTCCCAATTGAACTTGACGATAGTCAGCTGTCACAAATCTAAGAGGAGCAGGTGTAGAGCTATAACGTCTAAAACGAGATGGTTCAACGGTTTGAACGTATGTTTGATCATTATATATGAAGGCGTAAGAAGGTTGAGGAAGGGTGGCTGACTGTGGTGCTCTCACGGATTGCCTGATGTCCTTCGGAAATCCTGATGATTTTGTAGCAAAGGTAGCAGTTTTTGGAGGATTTGGAAGATTGAGGGCTCTGTTAACCTTTGGAGGAAAAGTTGCTGTTTGAGGAACCCTGCCCAAATTTGAAACGTGAGAAGATGACTTTGACAAATTAAGTGGTTTGGGGGTGGGTCTAGAAGAACTGGCTGTTTTTTGTTGATTTTGTTTGGAAGTGGGAGCAGGACTATTGTCTTTTGGAGGACTCCTAGACAAATTATTGTAAGCTTGTAGAGGAGGAGACCTTGAAACGAATACATTCTGCGGAGGTGGAGGTGAAGTCTTTACGAGAGTCGGGGTCTTTGTTGATTGCACGGCATAAACATGTTGATTTGGTCTAGGAAACTGAGAAGTTTTTGGCGTTCGAAGAGGTTGAACTCCAGAAATATTGTTATTACTGCCAGCTGTCCTTGAAGTGTTATTCATGCTCTGAGCGCGCTCCACATTAATTGACTTTAGGTTTACAGGTCTAGACTTGTTGCTACCACTATCCCTACGTTTACCTTGGTCACCGTTTGAGTTATTATTCCTCCAGGATTGTCTGGTAGGATCTTGGCTGGACGGTTGATGTTGAACTTGCACACCGCCGGCGTCCATAATCTTCATAATTATTACTTTATAAAGGAGTTTTTAGCTGAGTTTTTTAAATTAATACGAGGTATAGTTTTTGGATTGTTTCAAATGGTCGTTTTTGCTTTTGTTTTTGTAAAATATAATTACAATATACCGTGTGAAAAGTAATAAAAAATATATATATAAAAAAAATACAGTAACGGAGAAAATAAAGCAGTCAACGATAAAAAAAGTCCAAGAGTGAATTGTAATGAGCAAAAAGTTGTCTTTGGACGGGAAACGAGTGACTGGGTACCTATAATAATGCAGGACCAGCCAGTGGCCCACTGTCCCAAGATTGATTCAGAGATTAGAGGGAATAAGTTCCTTAAGCCAAAAAAATATTCTTTTGAACACAAAATTGGCGCACTAATTGTAAGTGACAGAAAGGCGGTGGGACATTTGAGCAACCTGTGGGGCAGAATCAAATGACCTATATTGAATTTGTTTCACGGGCAATATTGTGACAATTGTGAATTAACTAACACCTAGAAAGCAAATTAAGCAGACGAGTAACGAGATTCATCACTCACGATCTTACACAAATTTCCCGCAAAAGAAAAGAGGAGGCGGAGAAAAGTTCGACTTGAAACCAATAAAATTCGAGCTCAACAGTGATTGCTTTTATTTATATTGTTGTATCGAGTTGATTGGTAACATAAAATGCAAATAAGGTTGACAAGAATTTAAGAAATCTTTACTGTGCAATAATAATATACAAAGTAATCTGGTTACATTAATATTATTAGAAAACCTATTTTATTTTTCTTTTTTTGAACGAAAGTCTATAATGTGTTCGGGTGATGTAGGATCACGTTCCAAATCAAGCAATTGTTATTTTGTACGTATTTATTTGTTGACTTAAGTCCTGTTATTACCAGTATTTCACAAAAACCAGAAATTATAATTCAAGCCTCATTTTAAAAAGCTACGAATTTTTCCGAAAGACAATTTAGGTTGAAGAAGTTTTTGATGATCGACAGATGATCGAGCGAAAATTTGACTAACTCGGATTAGCCCGACGAAGCAAAACAAAAAAAAAGATAAGGTTCGAAGCACGGTTAAAAAATTAGGCATGCCTATTAGAGTATGCTCTGAGTCGAGACATAGTAATATAACTTTTCTAACTTGTACGTACGTATAACTAGTTATAACAGTTATACGATTGTTTTTTTTTGATAGTAAATTTTTTTAACTAATATAATATAAATTTGAATATAACTAATTTTAACTTCTGGTTATATTTTATTTTTAGAAGTTCTTAGACTTTTACTTAAAATTTTATTTTATTTATTTTTTTTTTAGAAGTTTTCAAACTTTTTGCTTTGTTATTTATATAAAGTTAATAAAAAAAGAACAAATCATTTTTAGTGAAATTTTTTTTATTTTTAAATTAAAATATTTTAATAATAATCTTATCAAATTTAATAAAT